TCTCAGATCATCCTTCAAGTTGAATAGCTCCTGGCAAACTTGGTGACTCTTTCCAGACCTTCAGGGTTCTCTTCCGTATCCTCTCCCAGAATTCTCTTGGAAATACTGAAGCAGGTCACTGAGTATTGGCTTCATGGATCTCTGGATTAGCATCATCTTGGAGAAATTGGTATTTCCTAGTTTATCATTCACCAAGAGGTTGTAGAAATTCAACAGAAAATCAGGTGAAAAGGCACCACCACAGGTATAACATACATGGAAGTTTTAAAAAAATAAGTATTAGATTTAGTACTGGAAACCAATCAATAAACTTGGCTTGCAAATTGGCTACATGGAGTTTCAACCTTTCCATCTATAGAGCTCCTGCTCTGTCACTGGAATAAATAATTGGGGGGTGAATGAAAGAGAAGCAGCAAGCAAAGATCTGAAGCCCCTAATGGCCTCTAAAACCATTCCATTTTTGCAGAAAAGTCTGTGGTTGCACCTCAAGAGAGGGGCCAGCCACCTGCTCAACTGGGTCTGATCCAAAGGCTGAGGTAATCTGGATACAGATAAATTACATTTATCCAAGGCAGACAAATTCTTGGAACAACTGGCAGGTAGATCCCATTCCAGAAGCATTTGCAACAAAACCAACAGCCTTAATGAAAAAGAAGAGAGAGGTACAATCAGACTGTGGTGCTGAACTAGTGAACTCTGATTCTTCACTGGCTTATAGAGGTGAAGTTTAAGCAGATACCTCTGCAGTCATGGGTCTTGAAGGATCGGTGCAGATGTTAAGTTTGGAGAGCAAGATATGTTTCTTGTGTGCAGTTTCCTTACGGTCAGGCTGCATTTGAAAGGAAATCACACTTTTCCAGCAATGAAACTAAAATATTGTGAGCTAACACATCTACCCATTCTGCATTAACTTACAGATAGGGGCTGTTATGTTGTGTTGGATGCTCAGCTTGCTGTGTTGTAAGAACCAAGGCAGCAGGGGCTGTTTTGAGAATCCATGGCCTGTTTTAGCATTATTTGAGGGTTGTCTAACTGTCAAACAGCCCCTGCCATACAGGCTGTGACAAGCACAACATGACAATCCCCATGGCCAGTCAATCTGCTGTGATGTACAAATAGGCCCAAAGCGATATGAAAGATGTGTTTCAGGAGAGCAGGACTTGAGATAGCTACCTTACATGCAATATCGCTTCATGGTTTATTATTTATAATAGAAATGTCTATGACACAGAGTTACAGTTGTACTGTAATAAAGAGGTGTGAACCTAATAAAAGCTTCCTTTGGCAAATCGGAACAGGTGCAAAGCTTCTGTTTTATCTCCCCTCCCCCTCCCAATGTAATGTCCCCACGACTGAAATTAAATTAAAATGAATCAATACTGGTATCCTGCAACAGCAGGGGGTTGGGCCTGATACCCTTTGTGGCCCTGTCAAACTATACTCTTCTATGATTCTAAGATGAAAAGGTATGATCAGGCTGTTTGCTTGCCCTGGATTTTTGCTGTCCACAGGTGGGAGACGGCAACAAAACGGTGCTGTGTGTATTGCACCTGTTCAGGATTCAGCCCAGTCAGCCAGGTCCTTCTCTAAGATATTTCCTTCCCTCCCCCATCAGCAATTTATATATATCTGACAAGGTTTCTGACCAGTATGGATTCTCTTATGTGTGGGTGATGCCTTTTTAACTAAATAAAGATTTCCATGCCAAGAATTTGCTATTAGTATAGAAAAGTTATTGTAAGTCTTTTAATTGTGATATTGTCATCTTTTACTATATATATTTTATTAGTTTAAAAGTAAAGGAAAAATAGATGTTTTCTCCATTAAAAAAGACTGGTTCAATCCCTAGAGTTCAAAACAAATAGCATATAAAGCGTAGTTATCCTACATCTTTATCAGAAGGTGTAAGGTTGCACCTGGAATGTACCTTTTGAGACAGCTAATAATTTATACTGCATGTTTTGTGAAGCTAGTTTTTATGTGCTTTTCTTATTGTTTCTTATTTTTATTGTGTTGGTTTTATACTGTATTGTGGCTTTAGAGTTTTGTATTTTATTCTGTTTTAAATTAGAATGTTTCCTTCATAGTTGTATGCACATATGTTTTCATCATTGCTGTCAAGTCTAGAAAATTAGTATGTTAAGAAGGCTAGGATGTGTCTTCCTGGCCCAGTGGCTATCTATATGACATTCTCTATGTCCATGGAGGAACATACAATCCCATGAGTCCCCACTGTCAGTCTCACTGGTACAGCATTTGAGCTCCGGTGTCACGGAGCATGCACAAAATGGCTTCTCACTAGCAACTTCCTCCAGCTTTCACATGTCTGGAATGCGGGACACAGTTTCTGGGTTTTTTAAATGTGTCTTCTAGAAATAACCACTGCCGTTAACAACCCAGCCCATAGCCTGCTTTGCTGAAAACAAACTTCATAACTTGGTGTGGGGAGGTGTGAATTGGCAAAACTAAGAAAGAAAAGCAGCCTGCTTTGCTTACAGTATCATTCCTTATCAGTGAATCTAATAGAGCTTTTCTGATTGGTTTTGGCAATGCTCCTTTTTACACAGAGAATCATCATTTCCTTCCAAGCTGTTTTGGTCGCTGCTTCATCTCTTTCCTAGCTCAATGGCCATTTTCTGCACAGAGGCTATTTTGTTTTTCTGGATCAAGGCCATTCAATCAAGTGGGAAGTGCTGCAAGAGAGAGAGAGACTGCTAGCACTGTTCCCACATATCCCCAAGGCTGTTCTTTATGCAGCTGTGACTCCCAGGGACACCTCTGGAAATAAAGGGCAGCTTATTACCCATCTTCTCCAACTCCTGTCAGGGAACTAAATACCCTGAAGTCAGGAGTAGCGGCGGCACAATGCCCCTTTATAGCGCTCACTGGGCCTTCTCTTCTGGCTCCAGCTGCCTCTTCATGCTGGTTTTCCTCAGTTCTTTTCTTCAATATTTTTTCCAGTTGACTTAATTATTACAGTGCATGGACCAGACTGAGGAAAATACACTGATGGTTGGCGTTGGCATTGCGGTAAGTGCTGGGAGAGGGAAGTGCCTTTGCCATGTAATGACATCATCCGGGAGATGATTGGTTGCATTCCCTTGGCCTTGGCCTGAGGCCTTTGGGCTCCCTGTGACTTCCGTGATACAGAACAGACACAGGCCCTGTGTCCCGCCAGCCCGCTTTGCTGCCAGTGCCCTGGCAAAGCCTGGGAGACATTTTTAAAAACAGCACAGTGCTTTGGCTTGGCTGAGGAGGGGAGGGGAGGGGAAGGGAAGGAGGAGCTACTCTGCAGCTCTGGCTTCCACCCTAAATTGGAACAAGCAAATGAAAATCCTCAAGAAACTACACATTTTTATCCTGACCAATGAACAAACCAGATCGATTTTCCTCCACAGAAGTACCACTGCAGTCCAAGAGCCCCTGCGGCTGGTCTCGGGGGGAAATGGTCGGAGTACAGATCATGCCGCAAAGGAAGTTTTGCTTAGTAGTGAGCAAATACTGATTGCTGTGTGAGTAGTTTCTGACACTGCCACACCAGGCACTGAGTTTAGCTGTGGTCTTTTAGAAGACACACCGATGCAGGGATTTGCTGGTGTGGGGGCACTAATGAGAAAGACATCCTGGCTCAGCCATGAGCTCACTGCGTGGCCTTAGTCTCCAAGCTTCCATATTGCTCATACAGGTGACATAATATTATTGGCCCACCTTTAAACAAAAGCACACAAGTTCTGGACTGGGGGTGCGAATCCAACCCTACAGGACTCCTCAGATGGCCACACCCCCTTTCCCACAATTACTGACCGTTTTATGCTTTCCTGGCTTTTGTGCAGTTTTTCCACCATTTGTGCAGGTTGAAATGGCTTAATTACTGGCAGGCAAAGCTCATGCATCACTGGAATGTGGCCTCTGGGCTAAAAGAAGTTCAATACCCGTTTTAAACAAGCAACGTTTTCTTACATGCAGTGTGCAGAGTCTACAAAAGAAAGAAAACAGGAAGCTTCCTTGGATTGGGGCAGACTATTTATTCATCTAGCATGGTGTTCGCCACTTTGACTACAAGTCAGCCTTCATGTTCTCAGGCAGAGAGAGAATTGCTCATCTTTTTAATACCAGGTAGTGACTCTGGGTCCCTCTGTGTGCAAAGCAAGTTCTCCATTCCTGAGATGTCTATAATTCAGTGGCACAGCAATACTGAATGGTCTGACGTCATGACAGCCGACCATGGCTTCATTTATTTGTCATGGCTTGATGTATTGTGCAAACCCAGGCTGAGGTTAAGGTGACTCTTAAATAAATGTTAAACAAGCCACAGGTTGCATGAGGGCTGTCTAATCCTCATACAACCCTTGCTACCTGAGTCCACACATGACAAGCTGGAAGCCATACCAAAAAGGTACCCCTGGGTATGCAGCAAAACTCAACAGCTCTCATGAGCAAATTAACCATGATGGATTATTTCATGTGAATCAGGTTCACATAAGCTATGAATAGGGATTCCTCAAAGTACAACATTCCTTGGCTATGAACTCGCTAAATGGTCTTAGGTAGGTCAGTATTTCCCAGCCTGCCTCCCCATCCATAGGTCTACTATTTTACAAGGCTGCTCAAGAATCTTTTAAATTAATCATCTAGGTTTTATGTGTAGATGTGGTCTAAGAAAGGCCCAGAATAAGATTACTCCATTGCCCAAGGGATTTTTCAATCGGAATATGAACACTGAGATGCTTATACCAATACACAGCATATGCAGCCATTATAAAATCAAAAAAATGGAAGGAGTCTTATAGGCCCTCTAGTCCAAATCCCTGCTCAATTCAGGAAATTCAGATCTAGAACATACCCAACAGGTGGTTGTCCAGCCTTTGACAAAGGGTGTGATAGGGGATGGATGTCTCCATTTTGTGCCACCTGGAATTGGACACAATTTGCATCAGAAAATCATACACTTAAGTATTTGCAATATGTCCTGTGGAACAGCTGAAACATGTCTGAATAAATTCACATAACGGAGAAGTGTGTAAAGAAAAAATTATATTTAAAAATGCCTAAATCACAATTTAGTCAGTGGTATTTATGTACAATGTATGTGCACAATTCACATTTTAGAAATACCCCCCAAATTCCATTAAAAATACAGTGTACATTGAACAGGTAAGAAGTGGAAAAAGGAGAACGTTCACTGAAATAGACTTGGCAGAACTGCTCATCACTACTATTAAGGACTCCATCGTGATATTATCACTAGGTAATTGGTATCATTGTCAAGCTGCTATCAACATCTAAAGTTACTACCGATGTCCAACCAAAATCTAGATTAGATTAGAAATGTACTAAATAATAATAATTCAAGCACACGAAATGTAGCTCTCTTTTGTGTAACAAACTTCTAGTATTTGAGGAATGCTGTCATAGTCCCCCTGCCACCTCCAGGCTAAACATACCTAAAATTATACAAATACTGAAAATCAAGGAAAATTACATAGTAGAACCAACACTGTGGAATAAAAGGCAGCACAGTATTGCTGTTTGAATATTGCTGCTAATACACTCTGATAAGAGTACAAATGGGATATAAATTATTTTAAAAATTCTGGCATACTTTACATGGTACACCTTGGAGTTCCAACTGCAACACATGATAGCTATAAATATGCATGGCACTTCCCAGTCTGTGAAAGATACAGTCCTTGAATTTTTAAATATTAAAGATAAATGGTTTGGGTTGTCATTTAAATAGCCCATATAAAAATTCTTCAGTTCCTTGATACATTACAGATTTATGAGAGAAGGGCAGGTTCCTACAAAAATAGGTCATGATTAAGTCCCATTGAAAGCAACAGGTGGAACTTAGTCTTGTGTAAGTGCCAAGACAACTTGCACTGATTTCAAAGGGTTATGTCAATAGCCATGAAGATGCAATAGCAAAACACACTGGGGAACTCTAACCATTGGCCCAGCTTTCTTTTTGTTTATATCCCCAAATCCCTTGAAGGGCTTTTACTTTTTGGCTTCAGTGTTATTTCTGAAGGCTCAGTTTGTAATTTTATGTTGCTGATTTCTTCTGAACTAAATCACAAGCATTAGAGATACTTTCATAGATGGTTGTTAAGCAAAAGAGGTGTTAGCTTAACTAGTGAAAGTTGGGTCTTAAGACCTTATTTCACCAATTACAACTGCAAAACTAGGACCATCAGATAGCAGTGAATTTTCAAACACCTTAAGTCTTCAGAATCCCCCCTTGCTTTGACTGCAGAGAAAATTATGAAATTATGGCATACGTATGAAAATAGGTATTAAAAGCAACACAAAGCAATAAAGTCAGAAAACTGTAATTTAATTTTCAGTTGCTTCTTGATATCTTTTTTTAAACCAATACTGGATGAATGGCCTGACTCAGATGGACTAATGGCCTTTGTGCTGAATCTGATATGGGGGTCCTGTACCTTCTATTTCCAAAAGGTCAGGCATCGTTTCCATAGGAGAGAGAAGGATTATTAGGCTGTATTCAGCAAGCAAACAGTCCTAGAGATACAAAGGGCTAGGACAAAGCCACAGATCAGAGAGTCAAGCGGAGGTCAGTTCCAAAAGGAAGCCCAGTCCTGTGTGGACAGAGAAGCAAGCAGAAGGATTGGTGGAGCCAAAGACCTAGGGGAGAATTTGCATACCGAGGCAACAAAAATCAGCAACGGGCAAAAACGGAGTCTGCCATACAAAGGAAGCCATCTAACAGCGGGGAAAAGTTCATATAGCATCAGCCTATAGTGATGAACCACAGTGAAGAGAAGGGCAAGGGAAAGAGTAAGTGTACGGGGGGGGGGCAGGGGTGATTATAACTTCTGGGTCCTGGTCTAGGCTGGACAACTTGTGATCTACCAAGTTAGGAATGCACAGATGGAGGTCTAGTGGCAGCTTCTCTGGTTGCTGCCCGTCTAGGAGTGCAAAAACAATGGAGCACTTGGTGGGCCAGCATCGTATGCCAAGGACTTTATTCCTTTTGGCTGTGAGGGCCAGGCTGAGATGTAGCATTATTACTATTCCAGCAACAAACAATTCTTTTCTTAGACCATTTCTGCAAGCTTGAGGGCCCATTGATTACTTTTTCTCCAAATCAATCCGGGCTTTCAAATGTGTTTTTGACCTGAACCAGCTACTTGTCTGAGCTGTTGGCAGACAGCATTTAGGCACCCTCAGTATTTTATTTACCGCAAGGATTCCCATCCTTTTCCAGGGTAGGCACAGGCAAAGGGAAGACTATCACATCTGGCATAGAGCTGCACTGCACAAAAACTGCCAGAGGCTTGGCACTTGAAATGAGGCTATGGAAGTAGAATAAAAACTTTGCTCTTCCAAGGCAGTGAGGACTCTTGCTAGCTCTTTCAGTTGCTTCCCAGATATTAAAGCTGAAGCAGCTTGAATTAGGTGGATTTTGTTTTTTAAAAAATCCAACTATAAACAGGTTGCACATCTAAGTGCTCTCCAAGGAAAAAACAGAGTGCAACATATGTTCCTACTATGCAAGTTATTTATTTGTCTTTTAGGGGAAAGGGGGGGAGGAAGGGGGGGAAGCTTTAATGGACTCATTATTGGTTTCCCTTGGCGAAGCTGTTAATTAATTAAAAAACGACATGTGAATGACATCCATTGGAGAAGTGCATTAGAGCTTCCAGATGCACAATGCTAGCTCATTTGGGATCTAAAATAGTTACAGTTGAGTCACTGCTTACTCCAAGATGAATTGGCATAGTGTTCCCACTTGGGAAAGAGGAACACTCTTCTACTTTGCACCAAAATGTGTCAGGGTTTTTCCAATGCAGTTGATATTAATTAGTTCTTTTAGAAGCAAAAAGTCGCAGCTATAAAATATTTAAGTAAACGCCATTTGGGGGGGAGGGCAGGAGGGAGGCTTAAATATGGAGGTAGAACAGCCTAATCCACAAACCAGTTCAGCTGGCACATTTAAATCTCATTGACATCAGTGTGGTGATGCCAGCCTCAGTCCAAGAACTCCAGGATGACTGCCCTGTTAATCACGACCTTAATAAGTACAAGCCAAATTCTGATTTCTTTCTTTCTTTCTAAAAATAAGGCATTATTTATGACTCCCAAGCACATAGTTAATATAATTTATGGGGTGGCAATAAAAATTAACATTTCTTACTAGGGTTCAGGATCCAAGCAAGCAAGCATTTTCTCAGGCTAAAACCAAAGATCGGAAGTACTTCTTCCAAAAACCATACTTGCAAAACAAGCTGATACAGCCTTTCAGCAAGGCACTCTTGACCATTAGGAAAAAGGAAAATGTTAAGAGACGAGGCAGCTGCCTCCTTTCTGTGACAACTGGGGCTGGTCCAAGTGGCAACTACTTTGGTGGCTGGAGTTGCTGAAGAAATGCATTTAGAGAGTGTCAGTATCCTTTGTTAGAAGCAGTGGTGATTCCTAGCACAGCCTAACTCAATAAAGTTGGTCATTTCTTACTACACTCCATGTTGACTGAGATAAAATGGAGATTTCATGTCCACAACATCAATTTTGCCTTACCCCTTGGTTTTGCCTAACATCCAGCCTGATGGAAGGGTTTTGAGATCCCAAAAGTTTGCTTACTGTCTGACCTTTTGGTTGCTCTTAATAAAAACACTGCCTAATTGTGGACTTTGCAATCTAATCATAATTGTCTCTTTGTTCTTAAATTAAGCTCCAATCATAGAAGTACTCCTCTTGAATTCAAAAGCCATGATGTTGTCTAACATAAAATAACTGGCACCCTTTTGTGAGCATTACTGCCAACAGACTGGTTGAAAACAGTGTCATGGAGAAACAGCAAAGCCAGACTTAAGTCCATGTGAACATAAATACTTGTCCCCCTTTTTTTCAGTTTATTCCCTTTCTAGTTCAAGGTTTAGTTTAGTCCCTTTCTAGTTCTAGTTCAAAGTTTATTCCCTTTCTAGTTTTAGTTTATTCCCTTTCTAGTTCATACATCACAAAAGTATGGTGAAGGTTTATATTGTTTTCCTTAAAAGCTAGTTTGACCTTTAAAACCTTGCATGAGAGGTGTTTGCCTTAATGCAACCTCTAATTAAACATGTGAAAAAAGCAACCTAAAGAGACACGTTGGCCATAAGGTCAGGAATAGTATGATTTCAGACATAGTGAAGAACCCTATTAAGTTTGATGTATCTGCACCCACTTTTTAGCCTCCTTCAAGGAAGGACTTTTATTAAGTGCCAGAGAAGGATGGTGCATGCAGCCCCAAGGCTTTCTACTGCTTAAAGAAATACATGTTTCAATGGTTAAAGCTGAGAAAATCCAGGCTTAATATTTTCCTCTAATTATGGCTGACTGAGCGTACATTTAAGAACCAAACGTTTTTATTAACAATTGCAGAAGCAGGAGAGCTGTTGCCATTTAGATGGTTGTCTGAATTTCTATTAACCTTGATCACTGACTGTATGGGCTAGAGTTGATAAAAGTTGGAGTCCCTCAACACTGGAGGGGCCACAGGTTACCTATTTCTAGTGAACAGTCTTTTTTATGACAATGAACATTCATATTCATTCTTGTTCAAGGTCTGCCCAGTAACAGAGCTTATTTTGCTACAGGCAGAAAAGATAATAACAATAAAACTAAATCTGAGAAGATCAAGCCTCACCTTCTTATCAAGATCATTATATTCTTTCTACATTGTCTGTGGAGTAATTTAAATTCAAGGTTTCATATTATTCACTACACATTTAAAAGCAATGTATTGTGGACAAGGCCATGTCATGGGGAAACCTTGACCTGCAAAATGTTTGTATAGATTTTTAACAAAAAACAACATAAGACAAAAAACAAAACAACCCACCCAAAAAGCCCCCACCAAGTTTCAAAGAAAATATTTAGATGGAGGAAGTGATAGTGGATGCCTGCTTTGTACAGCCACTTTCATAAATTGCAGCTGGATCTGATGTGATGATGTGAAGAGCACATTAAAAGCACATGACAGAAGGTAACTTACATGCTTCCAGAACTTGTGTTTAGCAGCTCAACTAGCATCACTGGTATCTGACCAGCATTACCAAGAACAAATTATTACATGAGCCTCATGATCCAGGTGATTAAGACCACATACAGGAACCTGCTCCAAGTGTCACCACCTTCTAAAAACTAGTTAGTGCCCACAAAAACCAGGTTTTCTCAGCAGTAGTACCAAGGACAAGCAGAAGGTATATCAATATTTCCTGATAGATCTCTGCATGATTTGTGATAGATCAGTAAGGGTTTCTGATTCCTCTAGTTAAACAGCAATAACAACAACTTTGCTACAGCTCGCCTTGTGCCAATTGCTTAGTTTCAGTGTTCTTCATGTGTAAAAAATATGAGTATTGGCTGGTTGTCTGTGACCAGGTGCTTATGCAGCTATACCATTTGAGGGCTGTGTCATAATTCTTGACCCTTGGTAACTCAGAGATTTCAATTTGTATTTCTATACAGAATGAATGGCTCATCGGTTGAATGAGCATGTAACTGACCTTTCTCCTCAGTTCCTGGGGTAGAGAAGAGGTGGTGAGCACAGCAGCAGAGAGGGATGAGGGAAAAGAGCAGATGATCATGGTGGAGTGTAGGAGAGAAAAATGGAAGGAGAGATAATGTTAGAAGCAAATCTCAAGTGAGAAAGAGAAATGAGGCAGAAGAGAATCCACAGAAACAGGGAATGGAATCTGGGGGGTTGGGGGCAGAAAAGATAATTCACAGAGATGGGGAGACAGAGACTGGGGGGTGGCGGCAAATGTCCCTGGGGCCCAAAATGATGGCTTACCCCCCGTTTAAGCTTTCAAAATCCAATGCAATTAGTATTACCATACCATGTAGGTTTTTTTCTCAGAGCTACAGGATGTTTCTCATTAGGAGAAAGGGATTTTTCAGAATTTGACATGTTACATACTGAATTTGGTTCTACTTGTTTTGATACATGCTGAGTTTTTCCAGTTACTTATTCTGTCATTGCATGCATGGTAGCCAACATTTAGAAGCGCAACGCATACCAAAGACTAAAGAAAGCACTCAAGTGCAACCCAACTGACAAAGCAATCCCATTCCTGTCTGCCTTCCACTGGGTTTGACATTACGCCCAGGTAAGCTGGTATAAGAGTCAAGCCTGAATGAGTAGGTAAATGCTTAGTGGGATGGGGAAAATGTAATGCATGGTTTTTCTATTACTCATGTGTAGTGCTGCAAACCACCCAGAGGGCTTTGGCTATGGGCAGTATAGAACTAACTAACTAAATAAATAAATGTCAACTAATGTGCTAACATAATATATGGCCAACCATGCTGTGATCATACCACAAGCAACTTCCATTTCTGTAGGATGGGTGTCAAAAGCAGCTAATTTTTATTAGGTATGATGGATGGCTAATCTTTTTCTAGAACGTTTCGACACTTTACACCTGTACAGCTGAATGTTTACTGTAACACAAAGCCTGGTAAGCGTGTACCTTTTAAAATAACGTTTTAGGGAACATTGATACAAAAATGTAGAAGTTAAATTAAAAACAGCATCAATAGTTAAAACTGGTTTGTCTGTAGAATCAGTGTAATCCACCTTTTAAAAATGATTGGTATTAAAACTGGACGCCACATTCTGTGATGCTAAATGAACGTTTAACAATGTTGTTATTTCGGATATGACAAGCAGTAATGGAAAATTCTTTTGTGGTGCCTGGATGGCACTCTTTGGAGAAAAAGATTCGATGAGTTATCAGCTGTTGCCACGATTTACAGAGGTAAGGCCGGTAGTCTATATCTGTATCATTGTGATGTTTTCCTAGGTCTTCAACAGTGTTCAGAGATTTCTGCATGATTGTTTGAGTTGTTGCGAACAAAACTAAATGATGTTCTCTTACAAGCTTCTCGAGGAACTGAGCACATTTCCTTAAGTTTGCTTCCTGCAAGCTAAGGTTCTCCCCTCCATTGACTCTGTCAATCCAATAGAAGGCTGATATACTATCAATAATCAGAAGGCAGAGGGAAGGATGAGAGCAAAACATGTTTTCCAAAGAGTAAAGGGTAAGAAGCAGCTGAGAGCTGCTGTTGCAATTAGCAAGGAAAAACCTCCTGAGACACTGCTTTATCATTTCTTCTGTGCCTTGAGACAGTCTGCGTTCCAGGATAGTCACTAAACGTAGCATGTCAAAATGAAAGTCTGTGTCAATAAAAAGTAAGCCAACCTCCAAGCCACCTCCTGATTTGGGAAGAATGCAACGGGCAATAAGATGATAGAGCATTTCTGTTTTTCCTGTTCCTTCTGGACCATGGAATTCAACAATATCACCTGTTCAACAATGAAGAGACAAGTTTTTAAGCTAGAAAGTCAATTGTTACTGAAGTGGCAAACAGAAGCATTTCGCTTTCACCTTGAACGTAAGTGCACATGCACACATCACATGAAAACATGTATCTGAAAGGTCCTTCGTATCTCCGTATCTCAAAACCTTTCCACAGCACCACATTCTAATCTAAAATAATCTTTGTGCATATTTAACAACTCCAACTGAGCAGATTTAAAAGAGGGTGACTTTTAACTCAACTATTTTCTCAACTATCTGAGAATAAATGGTGCTACAGAAAAATAGAAACAAGTCCAGGAAACAATGTAGGTTTGCGCAAACATGTTTGCATCTTTCCAGGCACAGTTTCCCAAACCATTACCAAGCCTCCAGAGGATGTTACTGTTCAAAGAATAATTGAGCTAAACGAAATACAGATTAATAAAAGTCACTGAAAGTCTACCTCAAGAGGGGAAAAAACCCACCGTCATCTCATTTCGAACTTTCATCTGTAAGTCTCAAAGTCCTTTAAAGATAGCATTGTGATGGAATGTATCAAAAATTATGAACATGCCTTACATGTCAAATGAGAGCAAGACAGATTGTCTACAATGAAACTTAAAATCTAAAATGGGGTGAATGCCCATTAACATCTGCAGCTCTGGGTTGGGGATAGTGACATGAATACAGGAAATGTGCATACTGGAGATGTAGTATTCATGGGGGGATCCCAAGTTTGAATGTGTTCCATGCCACAACTTTTCCCCACAGAATGCTAACATTTTTAATGGATCCCCACAAACATTTGGACATGATAAAATTGCATAGTGGAACTACCAGGCAATTATTACTGTAAATATTTGTTTACCATTAATGGGATATCCTTCATCAGCAAACAGAAAAGGTTCAAGACTTTTCAGAGAACTTCTGCCTTCAAGCCGTGCAAGCAACTTTAGAACAGAGAGAGAATTAACTAAAATTACTGAATCTACCAACTACAGATATAAACATTACTCAAAATTTAGTGTGAATCCAATTACTTGTTGACAGCTGATTTCAAATGCTTTGATGCATGTACAATTGTTTGCACAGCTCATTTATTTTTAAAATTCTATAAATAGCCCTGGCTACACATATAAATCTTTGTAGACAAAAATAGGCATGGAACAAGTGGAATACAGCATACCTTCCATAAAATGAGTTCTATAAAGCTTATCTGGATTACAAGATACTAGATTTCAAGATACTGTAAAGTCCTATACAGATCTTAATGGCTTCAAAAACAATACTGGATTATATTAATATGTTAAGTTATAAAAACCAGACTAAAAGAGGTACTCAATCAGACTTAAAATCCACAATGAATCACAAATCCCCAAACATGAACGGTTGATATTACTTTCTAGAGCAAAGCTGGAACTCTCTTATGAGCAGGGCCACCACTGACAAAGACCTGCTGACCTAGCTTCCTGATTAAAAGGGGCTGAGCCAAGAATTATATTGATTGTGGAGGAAAAGGCTCATACGGTATACTAGACCCAGACTATGAAGGTTAAAGCCAGCAATTTGTTGGACCTGAATACCTTAAAATAGTGAATATACTGTAGTCCCAGCCTGTTTATGATCTTTCCTTCCTAACCTTATTGAGGTTGTCTGTCACAATCTGCACCAGCTCTTAAGTCCCAAACAACATGCAAAGGGAAACCAAGATAAACAGCATTAGAGTAGCCGACTCTCAAATTTAATGAAGGCATGTATGACAATCACTAGATTCCACACGGACAAGAAAATGTATTAGTTTGCCGATTAAAAAAGCAAGTAAAACAGTGGCCCTATCTATTGCCTCTACCTGACTAAGAAGAGTGCTTAGGGTCAGTTGCTCTCCTAAATTCTAAACCTGATTAATTTAGGAGAGATATATAGATTTCTACTGAGCAACTCTGCCTTTCTTAGATTTGCAGGATCCCATCATTTCATCTTGTCTGGATTTAATTGTTGCTTGTTTGCTTCTATCCATTTGGGCTGATAGAAAAATCAATCAAATGAACAAAAACAGAGGGCCCTAACAATGCCAAATGTCTCAAAGATTTTTCTGGAACATCAGATAGATAGCAATAAAAAAGGTAAAACTGTTACCCTGTAAGTGTCTATGCATGGGTATGTGTTCGATAACTTCCTCCAATATTCCTTACTGGATATTAGACAGAAAAAACCTGTGCCCAGTCCTACAAAGTGCCACAATATCTGATTGCCCATTGTATCAAAAACTGCTGAGAAATGAACAAAGACCAGGAGAATTACACTACTGTCTGTCCCAGAACCTTTTTCAAAGAAAATCAGCCACTGGGGCAGCTAAAGCAGTCTTGGCTCCAAATGCAGGCTGGACTGAAACACAGTCATGTAGGCAGCCAAGAAAAGGTCAGGCTATCTTTCTTCTTTATTCACCCATTTGTCTTATGCTGAGGCTTTCTAGATACAATGGGCCATTTATTTTGGTCTGCAAGCTTCATGACATTTACCAACAAATTCCTGGATAGCAGAGCCAGGGAGCCTAATGCAATATGGATTTTTGTGTTAGATGGACAAGCCTCACAATTTAATGGACTGTTTTAATGCCACAAATGTCCTGAGGTGTCTGAAGACAGATACAGAACTGCTACATGCCCAGGCATTATAAATCTACATAATATGCTTGCCCTAATAACTTTGCATCCAAGATTTTCTCTAATTTTATCTCTTTGGGTAATCAAAACTGAGATCGACATCGCTTGCCGAGAGGGAATAGCTCAATTATAGACCACACGTTCTGCATGCAGAAGGACCCAGGATGAGCCCTGGAATCTCCAATTGAAAGTATTGCAGGAGCCAGGTGACTTGAAAGGCCTGTAGCCTGGGGTCTCTGCCAGTCAACAGTAGAGGCTGCTCAACTAGGTGGGGTACATAGTCTCCCCTAAGTATAGTCAGTATATGCCATCTATGTCACTCAGCCGGTTTCTCCCTTTGCTAGTCACTTTCAAGAAATATCTGACTCATTGTTTTTATACGCTAAATATGAGTATAATGCTATAAAGTTCACATATTTTTCTCAAACAGCAGGTGCTTAACTACACATGCAAATTATTATGATAATTTAAATACCAATGCACCTGTTCCCCTTGTGTATGTTTACTTTCTGGTTTTTAAAGTGAAATAACTGCAGCCATTTAGTATCCTGCTGTGTGTGCTGAGCAACATCCCAAGGGAGTCAGCTAACAGTTTTCCAGAAGAAAGAAAGCCCGCCTCTGTTAAGAATCTTAAGCCAAATTGTTAAGATATTAAATATTAATCCTAGTAAATGGACTATGAAATATTGTATTTTTATAACATTCTGACAAATTTTAAAAGATTTAACTGACTTAAAGCTCCATTATATAAACATCTCCCCAGAATGTATTTATTACACTTTAACCACACTCTTGTTGCAAGAAGCTCCCTGTAGCATACATGGTTCTTTATTGCCTCCCACAACCTTTTTCACAGCAACCCTGTGAAGCAGGCTAGAACACAATACAGTGACTGGTCCAAGCAGTTCTCTAACTGCTACAGCACACCTGAGGCACAAGTGAATAAGCAAAATTAAATTCTATAATAACAGAAAAGTATCCATTGGCAATAATTAAGCTGAGTATTTTCTTAACAGTTTTCTAGTTTCTGTAATCTCAAGAGCTGTTTGGTCCTCTGAACAGTGGATCAAAGGCTGAGAATTGGCAGCTTCAGAATAAAGTCAGTCCAGCCACACTGCTAACATGCATGCATGCATCAGACACAGTATTATATAAATTAAACCTACAAATACAGGAATGAAAGACACAAGAGGACTATAAGGGTGTCAGATTTCTATTTTGCATCACTTATAAATGTTTTAATGCGGCCAGAGGCTCCATAAAATTAATTTGGGAGTTGTTTTCAAGTTGACAGTTGCTCTCTAGGAAGTATAAAGGAGTTAGTGCTGCCATTACTTCATCAGGTTTTGGGTTTTTTTGGAGGTGAGGGCAGGGAACCTAATTCTACTTGCCTCCACCTTGGGAACTTTTAACAGCAGACACTCAGAAATAACAGTATGAATATCTTTGCAATCACAGGGAAAAGTTTCAGTTCTTCCACCTTTATCCATCATGACAAAGAAGCTTTTCTCTACCACTTGTCCTCCATCCAGGAAAAATTCATCCAGGCTGCTGCTCCAAAGCACCAGCCAAGGCCAGAAAAGGCGGCAACTTTGGAAGCTAATTATTAGATCCTGGTGGAAGTCCCATTACTGTAAAATTCCTTTCTTATGGATTTACACCTGGGTCTTCAGTATTTGCATACAGATTGAATACAGGCAGTTCTGCTATACTGAGTCACTTCATAGTTCCATCTTCTATATAATCCAGTACTGTTAATAATGACCCAGGGACTGCATCTCACCCATTCACGGCTTCTACTTTGCATCAGAATAGTCAGAAATCCCCCGGCTCACCATTCCGGAGTAATCTGAAGTGATGTGAACCCATAATTCTGGATTATTGAGCAATTCAATCCTAAATTTTAATACATGCTTTGTTGCAAATGCTGTGTTGCTTTCCTGGCAACAACCTAGAGTTCTAGGTTTGTACACCTGTCTAAACAAGACCCTGCACGGATTTTATACTAGATGCAAAGTGGAAGAGGCAAAAGGCACTACTGAGGAACAGTATGTTAACCAGTGACTAGTCATTACATGCAACTGGGTCACTGCTTGGCAGCAGCTCTTCAGACAGAATTTTTTCCAGCCCTACCAGAAGACAGAATGGGAGATCTACATGCAAGGAACATGTTCTGCCATTAAGCTGCAGTCTTTCCCAGTACCTTCCTTTTCAATGCTGCCTTGAGCTGAGATCACAAAGTTTCATTCCAGGGAAGCCTATTCAAGGTTTGCATATTTTTTCTTTTTAACACGTGCACATATATAAATGCTGCTTCTATGTTAGGAAACCAGCAGTTTTATTTTAATCATTCCTAATGTGTGATTTACTTTTTCATTTCAGCTGTCTGCCATAAAATCTGCTAGTGGGGTCTAGTGATTACAGTTGGCCTCTGGAGATGCACTGAGTGACTTTGGGCTAGTCACTGACTCTCAGCCTACTCTATCTCACAAGTTACACATGCACACATCCCAGTTTCTTTTGTACCATGTCTCACATTTTTAGACATCACCTTATGCGGGCAACACCCACAAAATGGCTTTAAAAAAAAAAAAGCTAAGGACGCTATTCCAAGTATGTTTAGACAGAAAAAATGTCCCACAACTCCTACAATATATTTATTAGTTCCTTTCTATTCCACCATTTGCCTCCCGCAAAGAACTCGAGGGGATTTAGACGGTCCCCCACTTCCATTTTGCCCTCACAACAACCCTGGGAGGTAGGCCGGTCTGAGAGTCAGCAGGCTACCCAAGCATCTACCAGTACCATACCGCAGGATCATATCTGGGGCTACAGCAGGGGAAGACTGTGTGCCTTCCTGCCCCGTGGGCGTTCCCAAAAGGCATCCAGCCGACCCACCGCCGGAAACAGGATCCTGGGGCAGAGGGGCTGTCGGCGCCTTGACCCAGGTACGTGAGGAGGATGAGGGTGCCTTGGCCGCCGCCTCCACCCACCCCACAGGCGAGACGAGGCGTCTCCCGCGGCCTCACCTGGGCACCCGACTCCGCCTTCCCGAGACCGCCAGCCATGGCTCCGGCCAGGGGGAAGAAGACGAGCCGCCGCCACTCAGCCCCCCGGACGGCGGAGGCGCCAACGGCTTCCTCTCACGGCGCATGCGCCCGAGGTACGGCTGCGCGTGCGCACTTCGTAGCACCCTCCTCTCAGAAAGAACCTTGCCCCGGAGAGGTGGAGAGCGCTTCGAGCTTGGTCACCTCGCCCGCCTTCCCTGCTCTTCAGTCCGTCATGCACATGCGCAGTGCCTTTTCTTCTGCAGGCGCTTTGTGGCCGGGGCGCAGGTCTTGCTGAGATCAGTGGGATCTTGGAGGTGCGATTCTGAGCAAAGTTGGAGGTCCCTTTCGTTTAAGCGCACGTCTTCCTTAGCCGGTTTTCCTTGCATTTTCGGTTTCAGGGAGGAGGCGAGAGTTCCAGTGGGGGACTGCTTTTTCTTGGCCAAAGAGCCGCCGTCCTCCTCTCTAGACTTCTCACCTCTAAGCGTGTTTATTCAGAAGTAAATCAGAATACAGCCCTACAACTCACATCCATCATTTCCCAGCGGGTATGAGGCTTATAGGACCTTTTTCTGTCCAAACGTGCATTACTATGATTGTTCCCTTAAACACCATTGAGTTCAATTGCCTTTAATCCCATGTAAACAGGCGCAAGTATTCAGCTGAAAAGCACGTGTTTTAGATGTGAATACTGCTGTTTTCAAGGTGGGCTTCCTCCTCAGCTGTATTGAGGCTTTCAGTCTTGTTGCAACAAATCCATGCATGCTTTCTCAGAAGTAAATATCACTGAGCCTTTCTTCATAATATAATGTGTTTCTAATTGCAGCATAGACTAATTCTGGGAGTAGATTTACGGAATACCACTGAATTTATTGCTAAGAAAACATGCATATGATTATGATGTTGAGTGCTTATTTGGCAGGTTTGAGAGGCTTCGAATTGTACTGCGGAATGAAACATCAAATGCTTATAATTAAGCTCGTGTGATAAAGACCCCACAACTAAAACCTTCCCTGAAGTGTTGGATAACAGCAAGGTAGGCCTCTTGAGGGGAAATGCTGCAAACTAGCAATCATCTGTGGTCTTTCTGTTTTTGATTTTAAAGACACCATTTCAGTTGCATTCATGGTGCTTTCCATGACAGGATCCTGAAGCGCTTGGCACACATGCAAATTAATCCTATCAATATCTCAGGAGAGACTGCATTTTAAATTACAAAAGTAATTGAAGAAAGATACAATTACTTTTGTCTTGCACAAGGACTGGAGGAAGTCCAGCAACCATCTGATAATGGATAGCATAGAGAAGGAAATATTTCACGTGTGTGTTCATGACACCTTATGCAATTCACCTAAAATGGCACCAACCGATCAGATTTCAGACTGGAACGTAGCAGTGTGAAAATTTTGTTTTTTTTTTCCTTAAGATTAACATGCCCCAGTAGGCTGGACAGAACTAAATGGGCATATTGTTTGAATCAACATTGTGATACACAACAGCAGTGTGTATCAGTCTTAACAGCTACTGCTGTCTATGGATGCTGTCCTCTAGAGAAGAAAAATATCTTCACAGCACAGCAGGACCTGTGTTACCTTTCCCCTCTTATAAAACCTTCCAGTGAAGAAGAGAGTTTCATGAGTACCTCTGAGGTTGCAGCAGAGGGAAAGGAAGGAAAGAGACTACATTTGCTGGGTGGAGAGACCAGCTCCACTTGATTGGTCTCTCTTAGATACTTCCTGTTTTATTATACGTTTTTAAGAATTGATGCCTGAATTTACTTTTTTATTCCTTCCTCCTGATCTGTTTTTGTGTTGGGTTTTGCAGATTATAAACTTAAAGGCAGGGACTGGCTTGCTTCTCCCTGCAAGCTACTCTGGAAGCCTTTTCAGGTGAATGCTAAAAATAAATACATGCTTCCGGTTTTTGATATGACCCTGAAACACTTTGTGATGTGACTGGAGTGTTAGAAGGAAAAGGCTTTAAGTGAGGGGGGAGGGGAATATATAGCCTTTGATGACTGACACAGTTGTAAACCAAGCAAAAAAGCTCAGAAAACCTATTATGTATTAAAAAAAACCCTTGAAGCAGCTTATTTGCATGAGATTGCTTATATGTAGACAAAGATAATGAGAATAGCAGCATCTTGTTTCTGTGAGTGCTCACCCAGATGTCAATTATAGTTATCTGCCTTTTTCGTATTGCTTTGCTTATGAAACCATGTGAGAAAAGAGAAAGAAAAGAACATCTCTGAGGACAGCATTCTGCACGATACACACAGGAGTGTATAAACCATTATAGAGGGATGGATCAGGCAGTCATGACCCTCTTCTTATTTATGTGCCCTGCAAAAGTATTCAGTGATACTGGACTTTCCCATTTTTGTTGTGTTCCATTGTGAGCTAAAATGGATTTAATTGGCATGATTACCACTTGGCATACACAAGCTACTCAACATTGTGAGCGTGCAAAATATTATTCTGGCACAAAAGTTAATTAAAGCAAACTGGCACTTGGTTGAAGACATATTTATCTCCTAGTCCATACTTTGCAGAAACACCTTTGCCAGCATTTACAGCTGTGAGGATTCTTGGCTAAGTTTCTGTCAGCTTAGCCTTAGCACATCTGAATTCTGTTTGCCCGTTTGCCCATTCCTCATGCAAGCTACTCCAGCTATCATGTTAGGTGGGGACCACTTGTGAACAGCAGTTGGACTTAGGTCTAGGCTTTGATTAGGTCATTCTAAGCAGTGATGTGTTTAAGTTCTTCACTCCAAGTCTTGAGCCAAATCTTTTCTTTCAAGTCCTAATCAAGTCGCAAGTCATTGCAAGACAGTTTTGAGTCAAGTCTCAAGAGTCAACTTTAACAGAAAAAAGGGAAATGGTGGTGGGGGGTGTGTGAAGGGGGGAGAGTTGTCAATCCCCTGATATTTCTGCCCTAAGCCTTCCCTTCCCTTCCCCCATCACAACCCGTTTGTCCCTATCTTACCCCACCCCTTGAAACTCCCTCCATCCCATTGCCTCTGTTGTGTTGGTGTCTGTCTGCCAGCCCTTTGCAGATGCCTTCTCCTGAGATTGCCCCAGGGTATCCTGCCTCACATTGATGCAAGTGGTAAGCCCTGGTAAAAAGGGCAGAAATCTCAAGTTGAGTCTGAGTCAAGTCGCTGATGCAACGTGCAACAGACTGGGGAGCAAGTCACTCCACTCAAGTCCCCAACATGGATTCTAAGATATCCAAGTTCTCATTTTAAACCTTTGTTTAAAATACGTTGTGTATTTAGGGCCATTGTCCTGATGGAAGGTGATCTTCCACCTCAGTCCTAGTTCCTGTGCAAAATGAAACAGAATTCCCTTTAGAATCGCCCCGTACGTAGCTCCATCTGTCTTGCTCTGACCAGTTTCCAAGTTCCCACCAGGGAAAGTCATTCCAACAACATGATGCTGCCACCACCATGCTTCGCTGTGGGGATGGTGTTCTCGGGATAATCAATACCTCCAATTTTGCACCACGCATCGTGTTTTGCAACTAGGGTTAGGACAAGGGCTCTCTGGCCCAGCCATGATTCCATGAGCAGCAACCCTAAACATGCTGTAGGTTTAGAAAGAAGTGCCACTGAACTAAGATGGGACGTCAGAGGAGAGATGCATTAAATTGTGTTGTTAACTGGGAAACTTCCAGTTTCTTAGTCTACTATTCTTAGAATTAGACTATGCCAACTTTCTAACAGCATTAGGTAGCTGAGACAGCAGCCTTAAATTCATGCAACCCATCTTCCCAGAGGTTGGAGCCAGCGGGCCATCTCAACAAGGAGAGGGGGCACAGGATGTGGGGCATACTATAGGGTTTATTAGCAAACAGCAGCTAATTTTGCATGTTCCTTGTCGTGCTGTGGTGCCCTTGTGCATAGCACAGGCCTGCGTGTGTTTACTAAGTTCAGTGAAGTTTTATTCCTGGTTGTTGTGCATAGGATTGCAGCCATCTTATAAAATAAGTGTATTATCTCTGCCAAATATTGAAGAGTGAATAAATAGGGTTGTACTTCCTCTTAATATTGTAGGTTTAAAAAATGTGCCGCCTCCACTGCTTATCAGTTGTGGTATATGCTAAGGAATCTTCTTACATAAGCGGAGAAATCTTTCCCACCACTGAAGTTCGTCTTGGCTTTCTGTACCACGGGAAGGACAGTGGCCTTGCGAGGTGAGATAGCAGTGCTTCAGATACAGGGAGGCATGGCTCTTCAAAGGCACCCTCCCTGACTAAGTTCTCCTTCTCATTGCTATGGTCACCAGCTGCTCTCGTTTCTCAACCTTTTCTTTTCAGAGGCTCCACTAGCTTGCTTAGCAGGCAGAAAGCCAGAGCATAAGTAGGCTGCAGCAGCTCCCACTGCTCACCTCCACCACTGTCCCAGCGAGAATTAGGGGCATGCAAACAAGCAGGTTGGAAGGATGAAAAAGAGGAACAGCTCCAGGGAAGTTTTATCCATGGCCCCCCACTGGAGTGTGGGCCCTGGAAAGTGCCCAGTGGCGCCAACCTTTGACACTGTCCATGGTAACAGCTGTAAAGAGCTCTGGAACAGAATAAAGTTGATATATAAAATTATCATCCTTAGGATCCTGTCTTTATTGTAATAGTTGCATGATGGTCTCATGGGTTTTCCTTTTAGTCTGTCTCTTTGAAAAGGATTGTATTGCTTACGCTGAAGGCTTAGCCTCCTAATGGCTAATGTGCTAAAATGCATTCATTGTTCGAAAGCCCATTAATATATTGATGGACCAAAATGAAAAGAAAAGGTGATGCTAAACTCAGCAGTTCTCTGTGCACAGAAGCACAGTGTCTATTGGTTTTATAATAGTAGTAGTTTTAAAAATGTTTTATCTGACAAATTCTTTTCCCCCTGAATTGGGCCAGTCTAACATCAGTTCTTAGCTGTGTGAGACAGAAAAATCAATTGTACCAGACCTTACTCTTTCTTCCTCTGCAGGTAGAATTCACTCCAAAGTCTCTTCTTAGCATGGATGCTAAGGAAATTAGCTGCTATTCAGGGAACTGCTTCACCCACAGTGTAT